AGAAGAGGGGAAAGGGGGGGGGGGAGTGAGAGGAGAGAAAAGGGAAGGTGGGGTGAAGTAGGGTGAGGGAAGGTTTGTGAGGTGGGATGGGTGAAAGATGAGATGGAGGAGGGAGGAGTGAGAAAAATGGGGAAAGTCTAAAGAGGTGTGGAAGGGTGTGTGTGGAGGGGGTGTGAGAGATGAGGATAAATGGAGAGGTCAAATAGGAAAGGGGGGAGAGAGGAAGGGGGGGAGAGGATAAAGGCAAATAATATAATATATATTTTATACATATACACATACATACACACACACTCACTGGCGGCCACTTTATTAGGTACACCTGTTCAATTGCTTTGGGTAACACAAAAACTGATACTCACAATCACATGGCAGCAACTCAATGCATTCAGGCATCTAGACATGGTGAAGGCAACTTGCGGTTCAAAATGAGCATCAGAATGGGGAAGAGAGGGGATTTAAGTGACTAGTGAACAAGGCATGGTTGTTCGTGCCAGATGGGCTGGTCTGAGTATTTAAAAAACTGCTGATCCAGTGGATTTTGGCACACAACCATCTCTAGGGTTTACAGAGAATGGTCCGAAAAAGAGAAAATATCCAGTTGTGTGGATGAAAATGCCTTGTTGATGTCAGAGGAGAATGGGCAGACTGGTTGCTGTGATATTCAGATGGTAGGGTCAGAAATTGGCGTAACCAACATGAAAGCATGGATTTATCCTGCCTTGCGTCAACGGTTCAGGCTGGGGGTGGTGTCATGGTGTGGGGGAGATTCTCCTGGCACTAGCAAGTTGTACCTAATAAAGTGGCTGGTAAGTGTATGTGTGTGTATAATTAATATATATATATATATGTGTAATATATATATATATATATATATATATATATATTAGATTGTAAGTTTCAAGGATCAGGCCCTCCTAACCCTCTTGTATTAAACTGTATTGTTGCTGTATTGTCTCCCGTTAGATTGTAAAGCGCTGAGCAAATTGTTGCTATATAAATCCTGTATAATAAAATTAATAATAAACAATATATATATACACACACACTTTTTTTTTTAGTTAGAACTTTTCCTTTAAAAAGTATAACTTCGCCTTTACAATAAAGGACAAACTGAATTTGACCCTGAAGAGAGGCCGTGAGAGAAACCTCCCATTCACTCATAGGCCGCTGCTTGTGATGACATCACACTGGGTTAAAACCATGTTAGTATCCAATTCAATTTGTGCTCCTTTAAGGCAGAGCAATCCCATTTCTGCAGGTAATAGAGATGAACAGCAAACTCTGCTTCCACAGTTATGTGATTTCTGTACAGGCTAAATGTTGTAATATTGTTAGCACATTAAAACCACATAACGTTTAGTTCCAAAAATAAATAAATTTAGTCCACATCATCTAAAGGACTGGGCACCAGCAATACACTGTCAAGTTCCAAAGATGATAACAACAGGAGCTCCCTTGAACTGTCACTAAAGTACTTTATAAGTAGCGAACCTTTAAAGGACTTTGTGGACAGGAGTGAAAAACAACGCAATAAACTACATAAAGTTCAGCCAGACTTCACTGTATTCTTAATAATATATGGTCTTTAAACAATTCCCACCTCCAACAACCTTTTAGCAGAAGTGTATATAAAAATGCCAGTGCAATACCTCCAGGTCCAATTTCTAACTCGTTGGAGTCTCGCTCTAAGCTGCCGGCGCTGCTCACAATGTTCATGAGATGAATTGCCGTCCATGCAAAGGGCATGCGATACCTTCCCAGTCTCTGGCAGAACTGCTCCCCCTGACTGCGCAACTTTTCCAGCTTCTCCTTATTCTGCAAAACAGCATGGAGTCAGATCAACAAAATGCTAAGTATAATGCAGGGTTGTTGGCACAGCCCATAGGAGAACCTATCTGTTCCTGCTGGACCAAGTCACCTCCTGGGGTTATATCTACTGGGGACGCCAGTTGTCATTTTTATGCCACAGTTCCTGGCGTTGTTTCTTCTCACCTTAGAGCAGGGGTAGGCAACCTGAGAGCCACGGGACTACAAGTTCCATCATGCCTCTGCAAGTCATAGCTGTAACTGTCAGTTTTGTAATCTTTGCAATGCCTCATGGGAAATGTAGTTCCACAACAGCTAGAGAGCCGCAGGTTGCCTACCCCCCGCCTTAGAGTTATGGGTGTTCCTACAACCCTTGGAGAGCTTCCACGGATGACATTGCATTACTCATAGAATACAATTAATTAAAAATTGAACTTAGGAAACAAGAGCCCCTCAAATGGTATGCAGGGCTGGGAACTCAAGGAGAGATATATTACCACTAAAATCTGAGACACAGAAGAAACACACTGCTCAAAAAAATGAATGGAACACTTTTGAATCAGAGTCTAGCATCAATGAAGTCAATGAAATTCCTGGGATATTGATCTGATCAGGTAAGTAGCAGAGGGGGTTGCTCATCATTTTCAGCTGCTTTGTGGTTAATGAAATTAACAACAGGTGCACTAGATGGGCAACAATGAGACAACCCCCAAAACAGAAATGGTTTTACAGGTGGAGGCCACTGACATTTTTTCCCTACCAGGGGCAGACTGACCATTTGGAAACTCGGGCACTGCACGAGGGCCCGGTCAGTAGGGGGCCCCATGAGATGCCCCTGGTACCTTTTTCATAGGCTTTTTTGAGTTTGGGCAAGGACACAGGGGCCCCATGATCCCCTATTGCCCGGGGGCCCCATAAGTTCTCAGTCCGCCCCTGTTCCCTACTCATCTTTCCTGACTGTTTTTCACTAGTTCTGCATTTGGCTAGAGTCAGTGTCACTACTGGTAGCATGAGGCCATACCTGGACCCTACAGAGGTTTCACAGGCAGTCCAACTCCTCTAAGATGGCACATCAATATCTGCCATTGCCAGAAGGTTTGCTGTGTCTCCCAGCACAGTCTCAAGAGCAAGGAGGAGATTCCAGGAGACAGGCAGTTACTCTAGGACAGCTGGACAGGGCCGAAGAAGGTCCTTAACCTATCAGCAGGACCAGTATCTGTTCCTTTGTGCAAGGAGGAACAGGATGAGCTCTGCCAGAGCCCTACAAAATGACCTCCAGCAGGCAACTGGTGTGAATGTCTCTGACAAAACAATGAGAAACAGACTTCATGAGGGTGGCCTGAGGGCCCAAAGTCCTCTAGTGGGCCCTGTTCTCACTGCCCGGCACCATAGAGCTCGATTGGCATTTGCCATTGAACACAAGAATTGGCAGGTCCACCACTGGCACCCTGTGCTTTTCACAGATGAGAGCAGGTTCCCCCTGAGCACATGTGACAGACATGAAAGGGTCTGGAGAAGCCGTGGAGAACATTCTGCTGCCTGTAACATCATTCGCATGACTGTTTTGGTGGTGGGTCAGTGATGGTCTGGGGAGGCCTATCATGGAGGGACGCACAGACCTCTACAGGCTAGACAATGGCACCCTGACTGCCATTAGGTATGGGGATGAAATCCTTGGACCGATTGTCTGACCCTACACTGGTGCAGGGGGTCCTGGGTTCCTCCTGGTGCATGACAATGCCCGGCCTCATGTGGGGAGAGTATGCAGGCAGTTCCTGGAGGATGAAGGAATTGATACCATTGAATGGCCCCCACACTCGCCTGACCCAAATCCAATAGAAAACCTCTGGGATGTCATGTTTCAGTCCATCCGACGCCGCCTGGTTGCACCTCAGACTGTCCAGGAGCTCAGTGATGCCCTGATCCAAATCTGGGAGGAAATCCCCCCAGGACACCATCCGTCATCTCATTAGGAGCCTCCCTCGACATTGTCAGGCATGCATACAAGCACATGGGGGCCATACACACTACTGAGGACCATTTTGAGTTGCTGCAATGACATTTCAGCAAAATGGACTTTCAGTCCTCTGTAGGTTGATAATTTTCATTTCCATCAAACAATGGGGCATCCTTACCTTCCTAACACATTACCCCCGTCCATGTCAGTATAGATATGCAGCATGATATTTTTCTCCATTTAGATCTGATGTGTTTTCAAAGTTTTCTTTTTAATTTAGTTGAGCAGTGTATATGAAATCATTATGGGACCAATTTAAAGTGGACTCCCACCGCTATAAGATATAAGAATAAATAAAAAGCATAGGGAATGTGGTGTGTACTTGGTGTATTTGATGCCCAGGTCTATATAAAAAAAAGAAATTTCAGTAATAATGAAATCAAAAGCCGTAATTATTAATGGCCTGAAAAAAAATGCAGGTAATAAAAATTGTAGTGTTCTTTCATATTGGTGGTAAGTAGAGAAGAGCCCCCTACATTGGTGGTCAGTGGTGCAGTGTCCCCTTACATTGGTGGTCAGCGGAAGAAGGGCTCTCTTACATTGGTCGGTGGGAAGATTGCCCCTTATATTGGAGGTCAGTGGGAAGATTGCCACTTATACTTTCGTGGTCAGTGGGGGGAATGGTCCTTACATTGGTGGTCAATGGGAGGAGTGCTCTTACATTGGTCTTTAATAGGAAGAATGCTCCTTTAATGGTTGGTCAGAGGGAAGAATGTTTCTTACATTAGTAGTTAGTTGGAAAAATGTCCTTTAGAATGGTGGTCAGTGGGAAGTATGACGTCTTCATTGGTGGTTGGTAAGCAGAATGGTTCTAACACTTGTGTAGCAGTGGGAAGAATGTCCCTTACATTGGTGGTCAGTGGGAAGAATGCTCCTTACATTGGTGGTCAGTGGGAAGAATGCCCCTTACATTGGTGGTCAGTGGGAAGAATGTCCCTTACATTGGTGGTGGTCAGTGGGAAGAATGCCCCTTACATTGGTGGTCAGTGGGAAGAATGCCCCTTACATTGGTGATCAGAAGAATGCCCCTTACATTGGTGGTCAGTGGGAAGAATGTCCCTTACATTGGTGGTCAGTGGGAAGAATGTCCCTTACATTGGTGGTGGTCAGTGGGAAGAATGCCCCTTACATTGGTGGTGGTCAGTGGGAAGAATGCCCCTTACATTGGTGATCAGAAGAATGCCCCTTACATTGGTGATCAGTGGGAAGAATGTTCCTTACATTGGTGATCAGTGGGAAGAATGCTCCTTACATTGGTGGTCAGTGGGAAGAATGCCCCTTACATTGGTGATCAGTGGGAAGAATGTCCCTTACATTGGTGGTCAGTGGGAAGAATGCCCCTTACATTGGTGATCAGTGGGAAGAATGTTCCTTACATTGGTGGTCAGTGGGAAGAATGTCCTTACATTGGTGAGTCAGTGGGAAGAATGTCCTTACATTGGTGATCAGTGGGAAGAATGCTCCTTACATTGGTGGTCAGTGGGAAGAATGCTCCTTACATTGGTGATCAGTGGGAAGAATGTCCCTTACATTGGTGATCAGTGGGAAGAATGTCCCTTACATTGGTGATCAGTGGGAAGAATGTTCCTTACATTGGTGGCCAGTTGGAAGAATGCTCCTTACATTGGGGGTCAGTGGGAAGAATGTCCCTTACATTGGTGATCAGTGGGATAATGTCCCTTACATTGATGATCACTGGGAAGAATGCCCCTTACATTGGTGATCAGTGGGAAGAATGTTCCTTACATTGGTGGTCAGTGGGAAGAATGTCCCTTACATTGGTGAGTCAGTGGGAAGAATGCCCCTTACATTGGTGATCAGAAGAATGCCCTTACATTGGTGATCAGTGGAAGAATGTTCCTTACATTGGTGGTCAGTGGGAAGAATGTCCCTTACATTGGTGATCAGTGGGAAGAATGTCCCTTACATTGGTGGTCAGTGGGAAGAATGTCCCTTACATTGGTGATCAGTGGGAAGAATGTTCCTTACATTGGTGATCAGTGGGAAGAATGTTCCTTACATTGGTGGTCAGTGGGAAGAATGTTCCTTACATTGGTGGTCAGTGGGAAGAATGTCCCTTACATTGGTGATCAGTGGGAAGAATGCTCCTTACATTGGTGATCAGTGGGAAGAATGCCCCTTACATTGGTGATCAGTGGGAAGAATGTCCCTTACATTGGTGATCAGTGGGAAGAATGTCCCTTACATTGGTGATCAGTGGGAAGAATGAATGGTGATCCCCCTTACATTGGTGATCAGTGGGAAGAATGTCCCTTACATTGGTGGTCAGTGGGAAGAATGTCCCTTACATTGGTGGTCAGTGGGAAGAATGCCCCTTACATTGGTGGTGGTCAGTGGGAAGAATGCCCCTTACATGTGATCAGAAGAATGCCCCTTACATTGGTGGTCAGTGGGAAGAATGTTCCTTACATTGGTGATCAGTGGAAGAATGTCCTTACATTGGTGATCAGTGGGAAGAATGTCCCCTTACATTGGTGATCAGTGGGAAGAATGCCCCTTACATTGGTGGTCAGTGGGAAGAATGTCCCTTACATTGGTGGTCAGTGGGAAGAATGCTCCTTACATTGGTGGTGGGATGAATGTCCCTTACATTGGTGATCAGTGGGAAGAATGTCCTTACATTGGTGGTGGTCAGTGGGAAGAATGTTCCTTACATTGGTGGTCAGTGTGAAGAATGTCCCCTTACATTGGTGATCAGTGGGAAGAATGCCCCTTACATTGGTGATCAGTGGGAAGAATGCCCCTTACATTGGTGATCAGTGGGAAGAATGTCCCTTACATTGGTGATCAGTGGGAAGAATGTCCCTTACATTGGTGATCAGTGGGAAGAATGTTCCTTACATTGGTGGCCAGTTGGAAGAATGTCCCTTACATTGGTGATCAGTTGGAAGAATGCTCCTTACATTGGGGGTCAGTGGGAAGAATGTCCCTTACATTGGTGATCAGTGTTAATGTCCCTTACATTGATGATCACTGGGAAGAATGCCCCTTACATTGGGTGATCAGTGGGAAGAATGTTCCTTTACATTGGTGGTCAGTGGGAAGAATGTTCCTTACATTGGTGGTCAGTGGGAAGAATGCCCCTTACATTGGTGATCAGAAGAATGCCCTTACATTGGTGATCAGTGGGAAGAATGTTCCTTACATTGGTGATCAGTGGGAAGAATGCTCCTTACATTGGTGGTCAGTGGGAAGAATGCCCTTACATTGGTGATCAGTGGGAAGAATGTCCCTTACATTGGTGGTCAGTGGGAAGAATGTCCCTTACATTGGTGGTCAGTGGGAAGAATGCTCCTTACATTGGTGATCAGTGGGAAGAATGTTCCTTACATTGGTGGTCAGTGGGAAGAATGTTCCTTACATTGGTGGTCAGTGTGAAGAATGTCCTTACATTGGTGATCAGTGGGAAGAATGCTCCTTACATTGGTGATCAGTGGGAAGAATGCCCCTTACATTGGTGATCAGTGGGAAGAATGTCCCTTACATTGGTGATCAGTGGGAAGAATGTCCCTTACATTGGTGATCAGTGGGAAGAATGCTCCTTACATTGGTGGCCAGTTGGAAGAATGTCCCTTACATTGGTGATCAGTTGGAAGAATGCTCCTTACATTGGTGGTCAGTGGGAAGAATGCTCCTTACATTGGTGGCCAGTTGGAAGAATGTCCCTTACATTGGTGATCAGTGGGAAGAATGCTCCTTACATTGGTGGCCAGTTGGAAGAATGTCCCTTACATTGGTGATCAGTTGGAAGAATGCTCCTTACATTGGGGGTCAGTGGGAAGAATGTCCCTTACATTGGTGATCAGTGGGATTAATGTCCCTTACATTGATGATCACTGGGAAGAATGCCCCTTACATTGGTGATCAGTGGGAAGAATGACATTGGTGGTCAGTGGGAAGAATGTTCCTTACATTGGTGGTCAGTGGGAAGAATGTTCCTTACATTGGTGGTCAGTGGGAAGAATGTCCCTTACATTGGTGGTCAGTGGGAAGAATGTTCCTTACATTGGTGGTCAGTGGGAAGAATGTCCCTTACATTGGTGATCAGTGGGAAGAATGTTCCTTACATTGGTGGTCAGTGGGAAGAATGTCCCTTACATTGGTGATCAGTGGGAAGAATGTCCCTTACATTGGTGATCAGTGAGAAGAATGTTCCTTACATTGGTGATCAGTGGGAAGAATGTCCCTTACATTGGTGATCAGTGAGAAGAATGTTCCTTACATTGGTGGTCAGTGGGAAGAATGTCCCTTACATTGGTGGTCAGTGGGAAGAATGTCCCATACATTAATAGTTACTGGCAATAATGCTCTTAAATTGTAACACTTTAATTGCTGATCACATAACTAACAGAAAACATCATGTGATTTTTTGGTAATAAATAAACCCGGGTAAACAACAGAAACTAGATTACTCACTTTTGCTGCATCCGCCTCCTTATAGATCATATAGGGCTCTGCACACTCTCCTATGTCACCCTGCTGCAATACCTTTTCCAGCTGAAAAAGAAACAGCAGTTCAACAAGACATTGCCAGTAAGCTATTGTTAAAGCAAAATTCCAAAGAAAAAACAGTTAATTTTTAAAGGGCTCATTCACATGGCTGTTCCTGGCCGTACACCACCCAGCTAATATATTTCTTTGGCGGGTACAGTCATGGATGTACATTCAGCAGAGGCTGCACAGCCTGCACAAGTCAATGACAGGCTGACAGGGTTCACAGCTGTCTGCATGTAATTACACATGGACCGATTACCTGCGATTAGGGACAGGTAAGCATCCTTGGAAGTTCTAGCTGAACCTTCTACAGACTGCTATATACCTGTACAGCGATTTTTACTTCACATAGATCATATCGCAATACATGTTTTAGCTGGCCAACTGTGTCAAAGTAGTCCCTCTATGGCCAGTCCCTAACCTGCTCTGCAAAATGCAAAGGCTACGGTGGGACACAATGCCAAAATGCGGGAAACAGAAGAAAACTGGAGGAGAGGCACTAGGCTCAGGTCTGACCACTGAACTTCAATGCAACAGAACTATGATATGCCTGTGTTCAAATCGCAATAGCTTGTACGTGTATATAATATATTGGGTGCAAAAGGGGTGTGGCCACCCCTTTCAAATAAGTATCCTTGGATGTGCAAAGTCTATGTACAGAGCTGCTCATCCAGGGGCGGACTGACCATTTGGAAACTCGGGCACTGCCAGAGGGCCCGGGGCCAGTAGGGGGCCCTATGAGATGCCCCTGTTACCTTTTTCATAGGCTTTTTTGAGTTTGGGCAAGGACACAGGGGCCCCATGATCCCCTATTGCCCGGGGGCCCCATGAGCAGTCAGTCCGCCCATGCTCATCTGTCTTTAGTTGCATATAATTACTCCTTGAGTGGTTACATGCAAACCATGCCACAGACAGCTTCTGAACGCAAACACATGGCTATACCCGCCACAGAAATTTGGTGATCTGGGCAGTATACGGCCACAAATGAGCCCTTAATAGCCTATTTAAAAAAAAAACAATATGGAGCTGTCCCCTGCAGTATTTCTATTTCACCACACGATGTCCTCAGTCCCACATATTGAAGGACAGCCAGCATCATCCCACCCCTCTGTGGGGATGTCATCAGGGGCCCTGGGCTCAGGATATTGGTGTCCTTTTATCATGCAGCTGTAAATGACCGTTACTCAGTTCTCTGGCATTCTCAGAGGATCAGTTCTCCTCTGAATGCCTTTTTATGAAGCAGTGTAGATCGTTTCTCCTAATGAGGAGAGAAGCGATCTACAAATGCTTTCAACGCTAGAAAACGGCTGCTGTTACTGTAATCTCGCGAGATTACAGTAAGAGATCAGTCAAACACCGTTTACTAAGCAGAGGTAAATTATCTTTGCTTCTTTTGCGGTTCCCCCCGATTCTCCAGCTCTGGGCTGGAGAATCTGGAGGGAGAACACAGATCTCCAGTGAAGGGCTGACATCGCTGCTTCATACACTGGCCATCTGTGTGCTGAGATGATCAGCAGAGAACATGTTCTCCGCTGATCATCTGTTTCCTAAACCACTAATGATCTGAGATCAGCAACAATCCTCAGGATCGCGGCTGATCTCTCTTTCATAAAAGGACACCATAATGCAAACTATTACCCTAGTCAATGTTCCCACTACAGATTGCTGGGGTACGAGGGCCGCACATCATATACCAAAGGGCCACATGCACCCCTTGGACCCTAGGTTGGGCCCCAGGGGCCTAGGCGGTCGGAGCGGAAGTGGCAATGATAAAAATATTAGAGAAGGGGGGAGGATTAAAAAAAAAAGTGTACCTTCCCATTTAGGGGTGAAGCTCCGGTTTATCTTATGTCTTGTGTATCAGTTATGTATATAAAAGTAACAAAAGTTAATTTCTCCTTGATTTTCAATACCCACTTTAATAACCAGGAAGACGTCTTGGGATGGATACGTGATGGAGAAGATGGCAGATCTTGCCAGCGTGGTGATGGCCGCTGGAGTGACGTAGGGGCGAAGCATTCCTTTTATTTGCTCCGAGTTTAGATCAAAGTAGAAGTTTTCTGAAATCTTTAGGGGGAAAAAAAAAAATAAAAATCAATAATTATTCATTTATAGCTCTTCCCAAAAAGCTCACCTACTCACATAAAAATTATTACTACCTTTTGTACCACTAGCCCCTCCCTCTTAGATTGTAAGCTCCCAGGATCAGGCCCTCCTATCCCTCTTGTATTGAACTGTATTGTTGCTGTATTGTCTCCCGTTATATTGTAAAGCGCTGAGCTAACTGTTGGCGCGATAGAAATCCTGTATAATAATAATATTAATAATAATTTCAGGTACTTTTTACTCAATTTACACAGCGCTTTACATATATATTGTACATTCACATCAGTCCCTAACCCTCAAGGGGTGTACAATCTAAGGTCCCTAACTCACATTCATACATACACATACTAGGGACAATTTAGACAGGAGCCAATTCACCTACTAGCATGTCTTTGGAGTGTGGGAGGAAACTGGAGTACCCGGAGGAAACCCACGCAGGCACAGGGAGAACATGCAAACTCCAGGCAGGTGGTGCTGTGGTTGGGATTCGAACCAATGACCCAAGTACTGCCAGGCGGAAGTGCTAACCATTTATCCCATAAAAAGATATACGCTCGGTGCAGCAAAGTGGATAGGAAACCGTCTCAAGTGCGGCAATGCAATTGGCACAACCCCCCTCGGGACATACTCTCCAGTAGACTTTTCGGGGTTTTGGCACATTTTTTTTTTTTAAAAATCGGTAAAGTTGGAAAATTTGCGGCTGATTTTGACGATCGGCCAATTTTTTCCCGGCAATGATGGGCAAATCGGCCGATTGTTTTACTGATAAAAAAATCTGCGCATGAGCCGTGACCTGCAAGAAGAAGAAAAAGAAATAGAAGAAAAGAAGAATAAGAAAATAAGAAAAAGAAGAGGAAGAAAAAGCAGAATTCCAGTCCGCTATTATATTTTATATGAAAAGTCTTGTGGTTGCAACAATGTATCTATTTGTATCCAAATAAAAACATATGGATACAAATGGATACAATGTTGCAACCGCAATACTTTTTCATGTCAAATATAATAGCGGAGCTCTCTGCAAGGGTCAGGAATAATTAAATGCCGGCCTTAGGCGGGATGAAAATCGGCCGATTTTTTTTTACCATTGGTGGTAACGTCGGCCGATCGAACGACAGATTTTTCTTTTTTTTTTTATAAACAAAACGGACGGTTTTTAACCCGTCTACGGCCTTCTTAAGGGGGAAGTTCCGCTTTAAAGTGAGAGTTGTAAAATAAAAAAAAATAATTACATTAGCTGTGTTTGTAGTTGGGCTCTAAGGCATAAAAGAAAAACACCAAAAGAAATACAGAGAGAACCAATGCAAACTTCTTCCAAACATTTGTGTTACCTGGCAGTAATGCGGATCTAATGGCATTAATGCTTTTCAAATCACTGACCTGGAACAGGTTTTTAACAGGAGTTTTGGTTTCTCTAGGACTTTATTCAATGCATGCTTGTTCCACATCAGTGACTAAAGCTGGCCATATATGCATCGAAATTTGACCAGTTCAGCAGGGACCAGCCAAATTTTGATCCATGTATGGGCACCCGGGTTGTACAGAAGTCAATTCACCGATTGCCTTCTGTACAATAACCACCTCCTGACCGCCCTATAGCAGAAGTACTGCTACAGGGTGGCAGGGCTTCTCAAAATCACATATATATATATATATACATGATTTTGTATTTCCAGGTAGGGGGCGCTCTACCCGCACCACCATTGGCATCTTCAGCTGTCGATCACCGGGTCCCGCCAGTGATACCCCGCTGGCATCTGGCAACTGCTTAGTATCACTGACAAGGGAGAGACCTTAAGTAAACAATACAGATCTCTCCCCTGCCAGATCCTGCACACTGCTTTGTATGGCTCTGCATTCACAGCAGTGTGCTTACATAGTAAAGCACAGCACACAGTAAAATACACACACAGCACACAGTTAACCCTTTGATCACCGCAGATGTTAACCCCTTCCTGCCCAGTGCGATTAGTACAGTGTCAGTGCTATTTATTAGCACTGATCACTGTATTGGTGTCACTGGGGATGTCAGTGAGACCACGTCAGATCCTCCCAGTGTCAGAATGCCTGCGGCAGTCCTGCTATAAGTCACTGATCACCGCCATTACTAGTATAAAAAAAAAATACCAGTACATTTACATCACCATTTGTAGACGCTATAACTTTCACGTAAACCAATTAATTTACAGGTATTGGGATTTTTTTTTTTTTAGCAAAGACATGGAGCAGAATACATTTTGGCCTAAATTTACGACGAAATTTGATTTTTTACATTTTTTTACTGGACATGTTTAATAGCAAAAAGTCAAAAATATTGTTTTTCTTCTCAAAATTGTCGGTCTTTTTTTGTTTATAGCGCAAAAAATTAAAAAAGGAGAGGAGATCAAAGACCACCAAAAGAAAGCTAAGGATGTAAATTTCATTTGGGTGCAGCGTTGCATGACTGCGCAATTGTCAGTTAAAGTAACGAAGCGCCATATCTCAAAAAATGGCCTGGTCAGGAAGAGGGGTAAATCCCCTGGAGGGCAAGTCAGTAAAGGTAAAT